TATATATGGTACGCACCCATATGTAGTTAGTAACACACAAGCATATTGTATTTAAAATAATTAATTCTAGAACCCAAATGCTAACCCTAAATTTGCAAGATTATGCTTTTTTATCATGACCCCGATATCCTGAAGTTGATGCACATTGTTTGTCATATAGCTAGCATTTGAATTTCTTTGAAAATCACTGCATTTCTTTCGTTTTTTATTTTCCTTTATTTTCTTCTTTGTCAGCACAACTACCTCTTCCTCTTGGTCACCATCGCTACTGCTCCAATCACTTTCTAAATCGTTCTCTTCTTCTAAGAGGTCAATATATGTATGCTGTTATACACAAAAAAAGTAGTTTTTTGTTGATTGTAAACGTGACCTTTGACCCTGACCTTTCAAATTTAGATCATTGTGACCACTTTGCATTTCTGATAAAAATTGTTGGCTGTTGACTGTTAAATGTATATAAGAAGTAGTTTTTCATAGATTGTGACCTTGAACATAGACCCTGACCCTTCAAAATTTAATCACTTCCACATCTTTGGTCAAAGAACATTATGTCCAGGTTTGACGAGTTTTCGATAAAAAAATATGGACTGTAGGCTGTTCACAGACACACATACATACACACACAGATAAATAAATAAACATAAATTTACCCCTGAATAGGCCTGGGTACCCCTATTCAGGGGACACTAACCAAAAACGTGAAATTGTCCCTTTAGTAGGGGCCGGTTGTTTTTGTTCAGTGACGATATAGATTCTTTATAATTTTATCTTAATTGACTTAAAAATGAGTTAAATTGTAACTGATTCATAACAATAATTGGCAATTTAAAAAATAGTTCATTTATGATATGAAATCAACAGATATATTAAAACTACAAAAGACTAAAGATTTATTTTTGAATATTAGGTTTTCTATTGGATGCACTCTTTGAAAGTGTCCCCGTCTCCTTTATAGGGGTGTCCCCTTAATAACAGTTGACAGTGTGCTAAAAAATATATTCCCCTTCGTTTCACAGAAAAGCGTCCCCTTCATAAGGGTGTCCACTGGATAGGGATGTCTTAAAGGAGAGGTTATACTGTATTCTTAACACCAGTGCGTGTTAACTTATGGTAATTCGGTAAATGTCTTTTTTATTTAGTTCATTTCGGTTATAACTCAGCAATCAATTAATCAATTTACAAGGCACTATACCCGAGAGTTTTGCGGAGGTCAGATGCTTACTATTATATGGCTTATGATTGCTTTGTTTAGTAAAGAGAGAAAGTTTCTCCACTCGAGTGGAGGTGTTAAAATGGTTCTCTCTTAATAAATCTGGATAGGAAGTGGTGTGCATTTCTAGTTTATAGCCAAGAGTTCCTACTTTAGTATTTATATCTCTAAACTGACATCTGAGGGACTCTGTACTGCACATTTGTAATTTGTTACCGTAGGTCAAGTTTACTTCCTTATACCTGAATCGTTGTGATTTAGACATATTTAGGCGTACTTGAATATCAAAGTTTACATTACACGCCTTATGTTAATACCTTACCGTAACTTCCTTGTTTTACTCACCATGAATGGCAAGTAAAATAAGCTCTTGACAGGCCGAACGACTTTTCTTATTATTAACTTGTTAACTATTCTTCAAATGGGTGTATATAAAAATATAAGAATCTACGATTTGTATAGTTTTTCATGGTTCAATGATGCTTTCCCATACTAAATATTTGCTATTTTTAATAATATAATTATCTAACTGATAATTTGTTTAGAGTATAATATATAAATGAGAGCATAATCTAATGACTTCAGAGGAGTTTTGTTACGCAATATCTGATATTAGTTTAAATTTAATACATGTTTTCTTATTAATTCGTTTATTTTTGCCATACTTACCCAATTTCAATTTTGTGTACTTATTGTTTTATATTTTTTGTCCAACATTGCTCTTTTTTTTTTTTAAACTTTCCAAAGTTGATATTAAGATTTATCTATTTTTTATTCATTCCTAAAATGTAGGCTTATAACCAATATCATATTACATTTGTATACAAATAAATATATAAAGGGAGTCTACCCATTTCCATAGTGACAAGAACATTATGTACATTTATTAAAAACAATGTATTTGTATCTGTTCAATTATCGATTCATATAATACCTAAATTATCCCACATGCAAAGACCCTTGAAAATAAGTATAATTTTGAAAGTAATTTTCCAAATAAAAATACTGTTGTTAATTGATATTAGTCGTTTCGACTCCTTAATCTTATTCTGACTGGCAGTCATCACATATTTGCATATCTCGCTATCTCGTTTTACAAGTCCCCAGGCAAACAACTAGAGTTCAACAGTCAATAGGCCTAACAGGAAGAGAATTTTTTAATTCCTGCTGTAGCTTTAGTTTGTTAGTAGACAACTTCCAAATAACATTAATAGTGATATTGTTGATCAAACGAGCTATGAGTTAAGTTAAAGTTGCTTCAAGTTCATACAACCTGTTCATAATGATATTGCGATACATTAAATACGTAGGCCTAGTAGTAGTATTTATATATTCTATCGTCAAAGCAGGTAAGCAACACTTTCTTTTAACAGGGTAATCACAAACCATCATTCTTACGCAAACGTTGTAGTTAGCTAGGCCCTATGTCGTTCATTTCTAGACACTTCGTCTAGGACATATTATTGATCCTACATGCCTCAGCCCTTAAAAAAGAAATATACAACTTAATACGCTAACATAACACTTCTTTGTTTAGATGCACAAAAAATAATTACTGTAAATTTCGTCATACTTGTTTAAAAAAATTGCCATGATACTTCAATTTTGAGTAGAAGCATAAAAAGGCCGATTTCTCATAACTTGTAAAACATATGGCATAGAAATATGAAAATAACAATAAATGATGCAGAAGTACTACTTCCCTTGTATACTAGGTTCAGCCATATCGGAATTACATGTCTTCCCATATTCGCTGGAAAAATAATGAGTTATCTCATAGTGTTTTTCATGATATATGATTTGACGCTTATGTGGCTGTTACTTTGATTGAAATATACATGTAATACCAAATATTGCTGCAAAAAATATTAATGCAAAAAGTACTACGTTCTATTCACTTTCAATAGAAACATATACTCCATATGAGTTATTCATAATACTAATTCTTGTCCTATTTAACAACCATTTAAAAATAGTGAAACATTTTACCCTCAAACATTTAGGAGCGATGACCCAATAACGTGTTCATAACATATGTAAGAAAATGAAATACGAAAGGCTATAATTCCAATAAATGTGACCAATGAGTATTTAATCAAAACAGAAAATTGTCATTCTTTAAAATTATATATATATATATATATATTATATATTTCTGTCTTTTGTGCGATAACACTTTCAGTGACGTAGCACAGGTATCACAAGTGGATCACAAGTAAAAAGAATAAAAGAAAACCGAAATGAAAAAAGAAATTGAACTTAAAACAAAACTAATGAGTTGAAGAAAAACAATATGTACATAAATATAAAACTACTGCATCAAAAATAAAATAGCTTAAAACTTAAAACAAATTTGAAAAAGGAAAAGGCGAAAAGAAAAATTCAGTAAAATTTTGATTCAATATTTTGTCTAGAACTAGAAGAGAGTAAATAAAGTTAAATTATATATCGTTTAAATGATTTTTAAAAGACTTAGGGAAAGTTCATTATATATTGTTTTCATTTGTTCAATCAAGTTGTTATTAGACTTGTTCCTAGTACATTGAGGGTGATTATTGTTGTTAAAGATAAATTTATTACATAAATAAGATGGGCCTTTTCTTTTAGATATTTGAAAGTTAATAATAGAAGATGTTCATTCCATCTGTTGACCAATCTTTTCCATCTCAACTCATTCATGATTGTACGAATTGGAGTATGAATGTCAACATATAAAAGAATTCTTCCTAGCCTATTTTGAAGAATTTGAAGTTCATTGAAGTGATTATTGGTTGGTCTCTTAATGAAAATAACCTTAAGTTAAGGAAAAAGTTTTCTTAGCTATAAAAGGGACATAAAACCAGACCTCTGCGAGGGCCAAGGTTCCTATGCGGGCATTCGTAAAATATTGCACTACTGTATTTTCGATGATGTAGACATGGCAACTAACGAGGGAGTGCTCGTGTTAATTTGAGATGACAAACACACTAGCCTTTGCACAGCCATACGCAACGCATCTTCTTTGACATCTTCCTGTGGGTATATTTTAACTAGAGTTTTTGCTACAAAAATAGCTTGGTACCCCTGTTTAATTAGAAATTTATGAAGTTCTAAGACAAATCCATTCTTGATTAATTTAATATTTTTTTGGAAAAAAAATATAAAAATTTTCTTCAACTGTACTAATAAACACTTTCTACAAGAAAGTCAAACTTCAGCAAGAACAAGAAAAATATTCACATGTACGGTACATACATATAATTAATAGGCTAGGCCTAGGCATACACCATTAATTAATTGAATTATAGTAATAAAAACACTAACGAACTTTATAAAAATATATATAGCCTAGTAGGCCTATTAGTAGAAAATGTATATGTGCAGTATATAATAATTAGTTACTAGCCATATAACAGGCATTGTCCCTTTTTAATATTTTAATTGATAGTATATAGTTTTCTTTTTATTTTGAATGAAAAATAAATGCGATCGTTAATATCGATCTTGGTACAATGTAAACCTGTATTCATATGACTACTTATACAGAATTTTACTATATTATAGGCCTAGACTAGGACCAGGCCTCCTACTATATTATAGAGGCCTAGTCCAAGACCTTGTTGCAAATCCCAGCAAACATAAGCCTAGCCTATAATGTCAAGCACAGGGCTCGTGATCGCGGTACCCTGACCATTAAAAATTAGCAGACGCATTGGGAAGCGTTGTTCACGGCATTGGACTGCAGCGAAAAATTATTCCCCCATCATTAATGGAACAGGCCCACGTCATGCTTGGCTGATTAGTTTTGATTTACATTTCGCAAGTCTAGTGCCATACGCAGCAAACTTTCTAGAATCTAGTGTTGTTGTCAAATGCATTTCATAACCAGGCTGGTTTTTGATTTACGTTTTGGAATAGAATTTGGAGAGGGCGTTTGATCAAGTCAGACCTACGTTTTGAATTTGAATTACATTTTAAAGAAATTAGAACTACATTTTGAAAAATTTGAACTACGTTTTGAAAAATTATAACTTCATTTTAGGAATCTAGAACTACATTTTGAGAAATTTACGCCTACGTTTTGATAAATTAGACATTGAATTTTGCAATTACATTTTGATTTTAACATGGACTTTTGCTGCGTAAGGCACCCCATCTGAGCCGACTATATCAGGCAGCCCTCGATTGATAGTCAGGTAGACTTGAGCGTCTTTTTGTTTAGAACGGCCACGAAGTTACGTCATTCTCTAATCACCTTGTTTCTTTGACCCCTTCTCCACAGGCATGTAAAACGGCATGTCGTTCAAGTTCAATGAGAGGTATCATATCATACCTCCATGATTATAGAGGATAAATGGAACATCGGATAGTTTTCGTTGTATTAAACTAATGTAATTTAATTAATATTGAATTTTGTATGTGAGATTGTTTTTTTTTTTTAACAGACAGACAGCAATGATTACCTGATTTCAATTTGATCAGCGGTAGATGAGTACCAGCAGCACTTAGGCCTAGGTCACAGATATGAATATGTAATCTTACTATGATCTAACCTAAAACGACCAACATCGATGAGGCAGTTTCAGAACCATTACTTTATTTGTCTGTTGTATAATTTGTAATATGATTATAAGAAGGCTACAATAATATTCAATAAAGAAATTTATCAGAAAAATCAGTTTAATTCATGTTTTATTCCGTCCGTCGTCGAATGTACACGCCATGTCTACTACTACGCACTGGCTCACAGTATGTTATTTGCATATTTTTGGATGTTGCTTATTGTTACTATCAGCGATTCCGTGATGTTGGGTTGCGATATCTTCAAGCTAATTTGCATAATACAATGCCGTTAGATTGTGGACAATAGTCTTATTTGGTATTCGGACAAAGGCACGGTAACATGGATGACTTTGAAGATTTTAATTGGGATAAATGTTTTGGTGAAAATGAAGTTGATAATGCTGAAGAATGTACTGCCGATATGAACTAGACATCATCCTCAACAAAAACACAGGGGACAGAAAAACAATGTGAAAGTACATTTAGTAACCAGCTTATTCATTTTTATCGGGCTTGTATAAGTGATTTACTATAGAATATTTCATTTCATTTATTTATTTGACCAAAAAAGCAATACTGTACAAGAATTAGAACAAACAATAAAACAAATGGTCAGGAAAAACTAAAGTGACAAAAGTCACCTGACTCAGGAGTCAGTAATTCCAACATAAAATAAATCTATATATTATATACAAGACATAAAATACAAATAAAATAAGGAACAACAATAAGACTTCAAAATGGATAACAGTCATTAAAATGAAAGTTAAAATTTAAAAATTTAAATTTTAAAATAAAGTGGAAAATTAAGTAATAAAATACTTTAAATAAGAAACATAAATTATGCCTACATATATTATGATACACATTACATAATTTTATTATTTAATATCACAGACCCTATAGGGTATGTGATGATACCTTGGACCCTATAGGATCTGTGATGATATCAATACGAGCAAGGGGGTAGAAGGTATAATAAAAGGATTTAGACACGATAAAAGATAAGAGTCCCAAAATCTTCCCGAACTTTACAGGAACTGGACACTAGAGGGTGCGCGAAAATTGCTCCAGGGCATTTACAAGGCTATCCTCAGCCACTTATCCAATTAGCGAGGTATGCAGTGTTGTAGGTATATGAGCGCAGCGGGTGGTTTCGATCGTTTCTAATCCGTTGTATATAGGGTCTGTAATTTAACAAAAGGAAGCGTGAGATAAAAGTCTTAAATTTAAAAAATTTGAGTCAATATTTTATCTAAATAAATCTGTGGGTAATGCAACATCATATAATCGCTCTGTAGAAAATATTTAAGAAATTATCATTTACATTCCACATGTATCCAAAGTTATCTAAAGCGTTTCTTATCCCAACTGCCTAAACAGTCCATTCTATTTTCAGCCCACAATCTTTGCTTTTGTTAGCATATATATGGTAACCTTGTACATTATATAGTATTTTCTGTCTTACAGCATTTACATTTATGCAAAAAGTTTACAATTTTTATGTGTTGATAAAATTTAATGGGAAATCTCACAAATTTATTTTGAACTTTTTTTGGAGCATGACGGGCATTTACAAAATTTTATATGGACATTTCATCACAATTTACATCATGACCCCAAAGCTCTCTGCCATATTGCATTATTGGTATTATTTGGCTACTTAAAAGTTTAAAGCCCCATTCCTGGCAAAATTTCACTAAAAAGGATTTTTTTTAGAAAAACTGCATATGGATTACTCTATTTATTATTAAACAATTGAAAAATATTGGCTAAATTTTAGTCTTGCGCAAAAGAATAAAAATAA